TTCCCCGGGCTCGGCCTGGCACGTCGGGGCCGCGCTGGAGCCGTTCCCCGTTTCCAGCCCCGGCGGCCCCGGGCCCGGTCGGGGAGGGGGGGGGTGTGGGGGGCCGCGTCCCGGCCCCACCCCAAACCTGGCCGGATTCTCCCGAAAATCCGCGGGGCTGTGGGGCGCGGATCTCCCCCCGGATCCTCTCGCGGGAGGACCCCGGGGGATCCGTCCCCGCAGCCCCGGTGCTGCCCCGGCGCCGGGGAACCGGTCCCCCGCCATCCCCGACACCGCCCGCCGGGAACCTGGTCCCCGACCCTGCCCGGAGGCCGGGCCGGTCGAACGGTGATGAGTCCCGGTGGCCGGGACGGTAAATAGACCGACACCCGTTCGCCTAGAGAGGCGGCGGGGCCCGAGAACCCGTTCAGCACCGCCGCGGCGGACAGCTCCGCACCGGGCACCGGGCACCGGGACCGGCACCGGGACCGGGCACCGCGCCGGGGCTCCCGGGCCTCCATCGAGCACCGCCACCGGGAACCGGCACCGGTACTGGCACCGGGACCGGGCACCGCGCCGGGACTCCCGGGGCTCCATCGAGCACCGGCACCGGGAACCGGCACCGGGAACCGACAGGGTACCGGGGGCCTCCACCGAGGAACCCGGCCTTGGCCACCGGCATCGCGGCACGGTGCCAGCTCCGGGCACCAGTTTCCCGGGGGACCGGAGCGGAGTCACGGCCACGGCTCGCCCCGTGACGGCGGGGCCGGGACCGAGCCGGGCCGCCGCTCCGGATCCCGGTGCCTTTATTGGCGAAGGGGTTGTGGCGGGAGGGGGGGGGGAACGGGACACCGCCTCCCCGGTCCCGGGGGGGGACACCCGTGGGGCAGAGCCGCGTTATATCAGCGCCGCCCCACCGCGGGCCGCGCACTCGGTCGGCGGGAGCGGCGGAGGCACCGGCACCGCCGAGAGGTACCGGGGGGGTCGGGCCGATGCCCTCCCCCCCCTCCCCGCTGCCCCGGGACGGAAGGAAAGCGGCGAAGGCGGCGGAGTCAACATTGAATATTTATTAATCGCCGTCGAAGGACGCTCGGTAATTACAAGTTCGCCGCGAATCGCACCGGCGGCGGCTCGTCACGGCCCCGGCGGGGACCGGGCTGCGAGCGTCCAGCGGGGCCGGGGCTGGGG